CTACTTCTGTAGTGATACTGCCTCGGAAACCCAAGGAGGGGTCGCTATGAGTCGGGTCCGACTCGATGGCACATAACAACAACAACAACAACTCTACAATAACAGTGAAAAGAAGTTTAGTATGTTTCTTTCTTTAAAAACAAAACAAAACAAAACTCACTGCCATCAAGTCAGTTACAACTCATAGTGACCCCTCCTTGGGTTTCTGAGGTGGTATCTCTACGGTAGCAGATTGCCCAGTGTTCCTTCAAAGGAATGGCTGGTGGGTTTGAACTGCCAGCCTTCTGGTTAGCAGTCAAATGCTTTAGGCACCAGAGATCCCTATCTTTCTTTATATGTACATTTTATTTTGTAGCCCTGGTAGTGCAATGGTTAGTGCTTGGCTGTTGAGAGGTCTGTGGTTCTAACCAATCCAGCAGCTCTGCAGGAGAAAGACCTAGCAATCTGTTCTCATAAAGATTACAGCTTAGGAGACCCATGGGGCAGTTCTACTTTGTCATGTAGGTTTCTATGAGTTGGAATAGACTCTACAGCACACGGCAATATATATATATACACTAGGAGCTCTGGTAGCATAGTGGCTAAAGCACTTGACTGTTAACCAGAAGGCTGGCGGTTCAAACCCACCAGCCACTCCTCGGAAGGAAGGTTGGGCAATCCTGCTTCCGTAGTGATACTGCCTCGGAAACCCAAGGAGGGGTCGCTATGAGTTGGGGCTGACTCGACGGCACATAACAACAACAACAACAACATATATATACACTAACAGGAGCTCTGGTAGCATAGTGGCTAAGACACTTGCCTGCTAACCAGACAGCTGGCGGTTCAAACCCACCAGCCACTCCTCGGAAGGAAGGTTGGGCAATCCTACTTCCGTAGTGATACTGCCTCGGAAACCCAAGGAGGGGTCGCTATGAGTTGGGGCCAACTCGACGGCACATAACAACAACAATATACACTAACTGGGAAAAGTAATACCAAGGCATGTCAAGATTTATCCATTCTTTCATTCAATTTGTACTTAGTTATTTTTACATTCCAGCCATTGGGATAGGTGCTGAGGATACACAGTAATTAAGCCACAGATCCAGTCGTCAAATTATTGGCAGCCCTTGGAAATGCAGTCAAGTAAACAGATAATGACAGTGACGTGTGACAAGTACTGTAACAGAGAAACCACAGTGTAGGGGCAGCTAAGATTCAGACTGGCGAAGGTTAGGGAGGAGAGTCAGAGAAAGCCTTGAGGATGAAAATGTTTTCTAAGCTATGAACCGAAGGTTTAACAGAGACCAGCCAGTTACAGGAGGGTGGGAGTGGAAGGTGGGAAAGAGGGTGTTCTGAGAGAGGGAGTAGTTCTAAGAAGGAATGAGAAAAGCATGAATGTCTCCTCCTTGGCCTAGTTCAGCATTTTCTTGATTTTAAAGGGTTGAGGAGAACTGTTCCAACACTGTGCAAATCAGTAATTAAAGATATTTTCTATGGCTCATACCCCATTCATCTTTTCCCAAGGCAGGTTGGCCAACAGACAGGAATTTAACTACCATTTGAGGTCTCATTTCCTGGTTCAGAGTGTGGTTTCCTTCCAAGTCCTTTAGCACTGATTTAAGAAAAGCATATAAAACACATCAGACCACTCACCTATAAACTCCTCTCACTGATTTGTACAATTTAAAGGACTCAAACGCTTTAATTAATGATGCTGATAATTGAAGAGATCTTGCTGCCTTACTTCCCCAAATCTAAACTATGAGTTTGACTTGTAACAACTGTCAAGACTGTAGGCCTTAGGAACTAGCCTAATAAGGACATAACCCAGAATGTGCAAGAACTCTATACATATGGATAAGTTAATCACAGCATTTCCTTACACTAATGGAAAAACTATACAACATGTACCTAAATAGGTGAATGGTTAAATAATAATGGTATAGCCCTTTCCAGAATATAAGCAGCCATGAACAAAGGTGTCAATTTATGGTAACTTGGAAAATGCTAGTGAAAGGCAATTTTAAGTGGAAATATAAAATGTATAGAATTATACATAAAATATAACAAATGGTAGAAAGAAATTCACTCAAATGAGAATGGCAGTTGAATTAATGTAGCGTGATTGTGAACTTTTTCCTACTTTCACTATTTCCTATATTGCATATGTTGTTGTTAGTTGCCATGGTGAAGTTGATTCTGACTCATGGTGTTCCGAAGTGTGCAGAGCAGTATTTCTCCATAGGGTTTTCAAGGCTATTACCTTTTGGGTATGGATTGCCAGGACTGTCTTCTGAGGTCTCTCTGGATGGTTTTGAATGACTAACCTTTTGGCCATTAGACATGCACTTAACTGTCTCACTCCTTAATTGCATTTATTATGCCTTTATAATTTAAATACCATTAAAGCATGAACTCTTAAAAGATATCAATGTGAACACTTTCAAACCCAAGCAGTACATAACAGGGAACATGAGGTGAAAATGTCTACGTAATCTTCCAACTGAAGCAGTAGCATGACCCCAATGAATGGGTATGGCACCATTTCAATGCTCAATGAACTGTGGTCACTTCACAGTAAAATGTGATGAAGTCTAAGGAGCAATGCCATATGCGTCTGAGAGAGACATCTGAGCCTATGAACGAAATGCAATTATAAGAGTTGGAGCTGAATAACAGATTAGGAATTGTAAGTTCTTTAAATCAGGTTTGGAAACCTTACCAATTTGTTAGGGCTCTGAGTAAAACAGTGATCTTCTCAAAAGCAAGCTGAACAAGACTAGGGTCTACAGTTCTAATTACTTCTCTGACTTTCCTAACTCCAATGTGTTCCTAGTTTGGGAACTAATTGATTTATTTCCTGTGTCTCCATTTCTCCAGGTGTTCAACAGTGATGGCAGTGCTGACCCATGGGATGGGGTAAGGTGATTAGTTAGCCCTAAGAGGGAAGACAGAGCCAACAGATTGCATCTCTTTCTTCACAACCGTGAAAGATTAACGTGAAAATAATGAACTGTTTTCTATCCCCTGTGAGCAAGGGAGATGATTAAACCAGTTTTAGTTGCAGCAAGAGTTATTTCGGTTATATTATAGTTAACTCCTTCCAAGCAGAAAGAACAGTTAATGGCAGTTGTGGCATTTCCTTTTCTAGAGATTTGTAACAATAGGGTAGATACACATCTGTCTCTGAAAGGCTTAGGCGTGGTATACACAGAAACAGAATGAACAAAAACAGCACACGTGTGCACACACACAAAACAACCTGGTATGTTGTAGTCCTTTTCTCACAGTTTTGAGCAGTTACAGATTTAAAAACAATTTACATCAACCCCCACCCCACTACCACCACTGTTGGATCAAAGTCTGAATGGCATGAATCTCAGAAAAAACCTTAGAAAGCAGAGCAAATTCAATTACCTGTACTAGGAGTTCCAGCTTCCGGTCATCAAGGAGATGTACTTGGCATCGGCGGCCCTCCGTCATCTAAGAAAAACGAGAAATGACAGTGACTAAGAGTCTAGCAGCCTGACAAACTAGAAGGTCCCCTATGCCAGATCCTACCTGGCATATTCCTCTGGGCAAAAATTCCCCTGGGAGCTGGCCTTATATAATGTCAGGAAGTGGCAGGATTGGTTCATTCTCCATTCATTTATTAAAAGATATTTATTGAGCACTTTCTGTGTGTTAGGTCTTATTCTGGGAGCTGGGTGTACACTAGGTCCCTGCTTTTGAGGTGCATATATTCCAATGGAGACCAAACCAGTTGTCATCGAGTTGACCGCACTTCATAGTGACCCCATATGTGTCAGATTAGAACTGTGTGCCACAGGGTTTTCAATGGCTATCTTTTTTGGAAGTCAGTCTCCAGGCCCTTCTTCTGAAGCACCTTTAGGGACTTGAACTTCCACCCCTTTGGTTAACAGTCACACACATAACCTTTGCACCAAGGGTTGCAATAAGGGGTGCAATAAGGGTCCAATAAGGGAGGCATAAGATAAACTAGCAAATACATATAAAACCTATCAAGTGGTGATAAGAGTTATTCATTCTTCATTCATTTTTCCATGCAATCATTTTATTATCACATATTAGGGACAGAGCTCAGTATCAGGTCTCTGTCATTGCTTCACTTGTCACTCTTTCTGATCACTGGAAAGAACAACTATCTGCTAACTGAATTTGATTTCTATCAATGATAGAAGAACCTGGCAGAGAAATGCACACAGCTAAACCTGATCCTGTTCCTTATGCCTTTCAGGACAGATGCCTTTGAACAGTGTAACAGAAAGAGCCCCCAAGACATGCACCAGGAAATCCAAGTCTGGATTAGGCTCCCCTGGTTACTGGGCTGCAGGGCTTTAGGCAAGTCTCTGGACATCTAGGAGCCTTAGTTTCATAGGAAAATGAGTGGGCTGGGCATTGGGGTGCTGGACAATTCTTCAACAACTGACATTTCAGAGAACAAAAGGCCTGATTGGTAGCATTTGCTCATTTCCAAGCTGTAAATACTTTCACTACGACCTGAAAGGGCAGCAGTTCAAACCCACCACTTGCTCTGTGGGAGAAAGCTGTGGCCGTCTGCTTCAATCAAGATTTACTGCCTTGGAAACCCTATAGGGCAGTCCTACTCTGTCCTATAGGGTCGCTATGAGTCAGAATTGATTTGACAGCAATAGGTTTATGGCTGATTTCATGCTACCAACATGTCACTGATAAAACCCAAAAACCAAACTTATATCAAGTTGATTCCTATTCACAGTGACCCCCATTGAATTTCCAAGATAGTAAATCTTTATGGAAGTAGATTGCTCCATCTTCCTTCCACGGAACGGCTGACAGGTATGAACCACCAACCTTCTGGTTAGCAGTTAAATGCCTTAGGCACTGCCACCAGAGCTACTTACTATGTCACTGGTAGTATTTCCAATATACAGATACAATTGGTACAAATAACCTCATAGCATAGATAATAGTAAAATAACAAGGAAGTGATGTTTTCAGTATTTATTACCTTTATTTGTATTTAATTGAAAGCTTATATAGTTTTGTTTTATTAGTGGTTATATTTTACAACTGGCACACAGAATGCCTAAAAAATTAGCAATTAGCTTTCACGAGCTGGTATGAGCCACCTCCAACATATCACTGGCTGGACGAGATGCCCATAAGGTTCCTTCAGCTCTACTATGACTCTAGAGCCCCCATGGAAACCACCTTATTTTTCCTCAACCACTAGCCACTTCCAAGCAGATCAAAAGAAACAATGCATTGAGCAGATCCTGGCCCTGCCCTGCTGCCTGGCCACCACAGTCCCGTCTCATGAGCGCCCTCTTCAGGAAAGATGGAAAAGACAGGCCTTTTCTCTTATTCAACAGGGATAATGTTCTGATCATCAGCATGCCCAAAGCTGTCATGTATCCCAATAGGAATAAGAAGAAGCTTTCTCATCATGCTTCCCATCAAGTCAGAATTCCCTAGTTATCAAAACGAACTAAACCAAACCAGCAGACTCTGCTCAGATAAAGCCAATCTCAAAACTCTCTTGAATCTAAGCTATACTAATCACTCAGCAGTCCCTAGCTGTGGGAAAAAAAAAAAAAAAAAAAAAGATCACCAAGACAAGCTTCACATTAAAAAACTTAAAAATCAAAAACTAACATTTGAAAAAGTTTCACTTACACATTAAAATTGAGAAGAAAACTTCAGCCCAAATGCTTGATGTGATAAAACATTATAAACCAATGCAAGCAGCTGTGGACAGGAATTGGGCATGTGCAAAGTCCTTATTCACCCTTTGATCTCTGAATTTCAGCTGTTAACTGCCTTAGCAGAGAAAGAGGCTCAAGTCCCATCTAGATTCCATCAAACTTGCACATAGTAGGCATCCTAACTGGTTGATGTAACTTTAAAAATTCATCAGTCTCATTTTAATCATTCTTCTATCAAAGTTCAATGAAAGTTACTACAAATATAAAATTAGACTGAAATATGCAATGCCATACGAAATAATTCTTCCACTAAAAGAGTACACCAAAAATGTTTAATTTCAAGTTTTAATAGGGCAGCAATTAATAGCAAGTTCACCCTGGATAAAATTTTAGATCTACAGCAACTCAGGTCTGATAGAAAGAACCCAAAGTTATTAGAGTTAAAGTTCTAGGAAGTAAAGTGCTACACACCAAAAAACCAAACTCACTGCCATCGAGTTGGATCCGACTCATAGCGACCCCTCCTTGGGTTTCTGAGGCAGTATCACTATAGAAGTAGATTGCCCAATCTTTCTTCCAAGGAGTGGCTGGTGGGTTTGAACTGCCAAGCCTTCTGGTTAGCAGTCAAATGCCTTAGGCACTATACCACTAGAGCTCCTAAAATGCTACAACTATGCAGCACATTATTTTGAAATTAATCTAAAAACATATATTATGTATTTGAGAAAGTTCTAAGAAGGGTGGTGATGAGGTAGATGAGGAAGAGAGAAATGATGTTTGTCCTTTGCATCTTAATACAAAGTTTTGAGTTTCATTTTCTTGTAAAAGCTTAAGTGTATAAACATACTTCTGAGTTACTACCTCACATTCCAATAAATTTTATAAAAACAGAAAAATTGGTATCTGAGGTACATTATTGTATCAAACAAAATGTTAATCATGGTAGTAAATAAGTAGGAAGGAGCTCTGGTGGCATAGTGCCTAAGGCATTTGACTGCTAATCAGAAGGTTGGCAGTTCCAACCACCAGCCACCCCTTGGAAGGAAGATGGGGCAATCTACTTTCATAGAGATACTGCCTCAGAAACCTAAGGAGGGGCCACTATGAGTTGGAACCGACTCGACGGCAGTGAGTTTGGTTTTGGAGTAAAGAAGTAGTAGTATATCATTTTCTCAAAATATTACAAAAGCACACAAGGTATGACTTGACATTGAGTCCATATTCAGATCTAAAATTTTACCCTGAAAGATAAATTTCTCACTACATTACTTAATCTCACCTTCTCTGCTCAGCCATTCAAGGAAGTCACTAAGTCTTGAGATGTTAAGGTCTATCCAAGATTTTCCAAATTAATCTCTGTCTCTGCAAGGAAATTTCAACACCACTTCCTGGGAAATTCTAAGCAGGCTCCATATTTTGATGTCTCCCTTGTAGAAGGCAAAATGTTCCTGACTAAAGTCAGCCCAAGGAAGTGAATCTAAAACAGAAATTCAACTTTGAATAATCATGTGTTCAAGGTCCACCTTTCTTTTGAAAGCACCGTGGTTAGTTTTTTTTCTCAAAAGAATGAGTTGCTTGTTGTTCCATACTGACTAAGATCAGAGGATCCTGACCTCATCATCAGTTCAGAAAAGGTTTACCGTTCTGGGTGTGCACAAGAAAGAGCGGATATCTGTAGGCTTTGTCTGGCTTGCCAGGCATACTGCACTTTTCTTTTGAATACCAACAACTGTAAAATAATACAGCTTTCCTTTTTTTTTTTTTTTTTTCATTTTCAGCTGCTCAGGCACAACTGAAGCCCTGGCATCATCCTCAGAGAAAATCGTTTGGATAGCAGCGCATCTCATAGATGTCAGCTGGCTACCATCCCAACCATAAATCGTTCTGCTACAAATACAATTCTATACCAAGCGGTGGCCTGCCAAGTACTTTTTGATTTTAAAGGATGTAAGAAAAATGGTATTTTGAGAGTGAGGTCTCCATCCCATTGATCTAACTTTGCTGTTATTAAGATAATTGTGAATCATGAGGACTATTCGTAAACATGAAAACGTATTTATGACTCTAGTTTCAGTGAGCATAGCAGAATATGAAAGGACATGCGTACTAAAAAAAAAAGCAACCAACAAAATGGACATGTCTGTGGACACAGATAAGGAGGCAAAAGTAAAAATACTGATGTTCTAGGGTGCTAGGCTTATGGGTTCTCTCTTACCCCATATATTACTTAAAATGTTGCTCCTTTTTTCAGTTAAAAAAGTGTAAAACAGAAACTTTATCTAGAAAAATGAATGGCATTGTCTGAGGTCAGCCATAGGAAATGGAGACTGAGAAGCTTCTTTTGCAGCAATTGTGTTTTAGATTACCACCTATATTATTAATACATAAAATCCAATATATCAGTGTACAAATGAGAATTACAATGGTCACATAGGCCAAAATATACAGTTGAACGCCTGACAGCTTCTCTTCCTGTGGGAAGAATTACATGGGAAGCCAGATTGTGATCAGAAGGGTTCAGGGAGGACTTAAAAAAAAAAAAAAAAAAAAAATTCATCACCATCCAGTTGATCCTTACTCTTAGCGACCCTATCAGACAGAGTAGAACTGCCCCAAAGGGTTTCAAAGACTCTAATCTTTATGGAAGCACACTGCTATATAGCTTTCTCCTGAGGAGCAGCTTGTGGGTTCCAACAGCTAACCTTTCAGTTGCCAGCCAAATGCTTAAAGGGGATTTATAAATAGATACATATACTTAAAGTAAGGAAGTAAATA